CCTTGCCTACCTTTCTACTTGAAGGTGTATTCTCTTCCCTCTCTGAAAATCTATTGTTTTATAGTAAACTCCACCTGTACTCTATAGCATGGACTATGTTTCTTGTCTGAAATCTTTCATCAAAGACACAAAGAATGGATATATGTCACCAGTTCCAGGCAGTGTTAGAATTTGGAGGCGTTAGGGTTTGGTTTCCTGGCGACAACCTCTGAGTAGAATCAAGTCTTCAAGAATCAAAAGAGCAGTAACAAAAAAGGTTAAAATATACCACTAAAAGTGTGATAGAGAACCCTGGTTGGAGAAGATATTTACACTGTGTAACTGAAAATGGTTTCATATCTAATTTATATTAACAATAATGCCTGCCAGTGACAACATAAATTGGATTTTGAATTTGCGTTTCAGTTTGGCATTCTTTAGCACCAAAAGACAGCAGTTGTACTTTCGGTGCACACCTTAGCTAAGCAGGAGTACATGAGCACCCAGATGCCTTTACAAAACTCACATTGTTTGTAGTTGCTCAAACTGGATATAATCAAAGTGTCCACCAGAAAGAGAATGAATAAAATAATATACTCATATGATAGGATTTTATAGATGCTATAAAGAGGTAAAATGAAAAAAAATGGATAAATTACTAAAATCTAAATTTGATGAAATCCAGGTACAAAATAATTTCTGCTGTAAGATTCTCTTATGTCAAGTTTGAAGCAGGCCAACCTAAACTGTGGTTTGAATGCCTACTTAGATGGTAAAATTATATTGTAAAGAAAAGAATAAAGCATAAAATTCAGATGGGAAAGACGGGTTCCGCTCAGAAAGAGGACCATGCAGGAGGCCTGAAGACAATTCTCTATTCTCACACTGAATAGTAGTGACAAGATGTTTATAATACTTTGTTGAGTTTGATCTTGTACTTTTCTGTATTCATAATAAAAAAGTTTCAAATATTTTTATGAGTCTGAATAAGCATTCTACTTTCATGCAATATTTTCCTTCTTTGCAAAGATTTAATACTGATCTTTGCAAGTATAAGTGGGGCTTTTCATACCATCCTTTAATGCAAAACATGCAGCTATACAGATGAGAAGGAGAGTCCTTTTTTAAGATTGGAAGTGGAGAAAATACAAAGACATGACTGATAGTGGATGTGTTCTAGCATATTCTCAATAAATCAGGAATATTCTGAGAGATGAATAGACAGGGAAGGACATCTGGGAGATTTGCCACATTCTGTACTCTGATAAAGCACTGTATTATTGAGAGTCATGCTATCTTTTTTGTTTCTGCAGAACTTTTCCTCAGAAATAATGATTTTTCTGGTAACATCAGAGCATGGAAGAAGCAGCATTATTAAATAACTGTCATCCAAAAAGACCACAAAAAGATGTTTCTCACCATTAGCCATCAGGGAAGTGCCAATGAAGGTCACAGTAGGGTGCTGCTTCACATCCTCAGGATGGCTGTATTCAGAGAGACAGACACTGTCAGCGATGATATGGAGACACTGGAACTCTCATACATTGCTGGAGGAATGTGAAATGATGCGTTGCTTTGGAAAACAAGCCTGGCAGTTCCTCGAGTGTTAAACATAAGAAGTACTACACAATCCAGCAGTTCCACGCCTCAGTACATTATGTGAGAGAAATGAACCCACATGTCCACATAAAACTTGTACATTAATGTTCATAGCACCACTATGTATAATAGAAAACATAAAACCAAGTATCTATCAGCTATTGTATTGGTAAGCAAAATGTGGCATATCTTTTTTATAGATAAACATTAAGAGCATTACACTCTTACACAGTGAAAGAAGTGATATGATTCCATTTCCATGAAATGTCCAACATAGGGAAATCTACAGTGACAGAAAGTAGGTTAGTGGCCGCTTAGGACTGAGAAGTTTACACAGTGACAGCTCAGGGCTACAGGTTCCTTCTTGATGTCAGGTAATATGCTAAAATTGACTGTGGTAATGATTGCACAGCTCAGGGAATGAATATGCCAAAAGCCACTGAGTTGCATACTTCCAAATGAGTGAATTGTATGCTGTGTGAATTATTTCTCCAAAAGTTCTTTAAAAATGTCATCATTCTATGGTATTACTCCATTTCTGAAAAACCAAGTTAGGACCAGAATATTCGTTTTAAACAAGAGCCTTCACAGCTTGACAGAAACACTGTAAGATAAGAGAGGAAAAGACAGGAAATTGGTATCTTGATGAAACAGGGCTTTGCTGAGACCAGTTTTACCTGTGGGTGGCATCCTGGAATGCTGCATCCTAGAAATAGCTGGAAAGTGAAATTTGCATTTTCTCTGTCTCTGTCTTTCTGTCTCTCTGTCTCTTTGTGTCTATGTGTCTGTCTGTGTCTCTGTCTGTCTGTCTGTCTCTGACTCTTTCTCCTGTAAGATTCTCTCATCTATAGAAGAAACCTTCAACACAGATGAATTCTTAGGTTCATATTGGAAAGAAGTTGAGGATCTCAAATCTGATTACCCTTAAATCATGCATGCATGTCTAGATTTTCCTTGCTTGAAGACCTGGGTTGAAATGCAAATGCAGTCAACTAGCAAAGCTCCCCTAGCCACAAAAGCCAAAATGACTCTTGCATTCACCTGTGCCAGGTTTCCAAGGTGATAAGGCTTTCCCAGCCCATGAGGGTTAGCCCTGGTGGTCTACTTTCAGTGTGGGATGGGCTTATAGGAAGGATACCACACTAGTCAGTATACCAAATCATAATGGTACTACGCCAGAGATCTGCCACTGTAAAACAAACAGCCTATGATTCCGACCCAGGCAGGCAGTTTTGTCTTTTCCTTCAAGGAAAAGTATGTGACTGAGCAAAGGACAAAGAGGGAGACTCTGTCAAGACAGTTTGGGAGCACGGTGGGAACAGAAGCCTGAGGCAGCAAGCTAGAGATTGATTTGAAGGTGTGAGATAGAGTCAGAGAGCACAGATGACACACAGGAAGCTTCACGGGGGAAACACAGGCAGACAGCAAGAGGTAGACCACAGAGCTGAAGGAGCTGTGTGTTCAGAGCAGGAGAAATCGGAGCAGTAGCATGGGTGAAGAGAAGAAATGAGGCTGAGCGTGCAGACTGAAGAGAACGGAGGAGTCTCAGAGGCGACGGGTGACAGGACTGAGAGACAGGTGCAGGGCTCAGCTTTGATTCATGAAGCACAGCTTCCTCTGTGCCAAGGAGAAGGAGCAGAAGCTCTGGGGAGATTGTGGTCAGTGTGAGACTGTTTATGGAGCTCAGGTCACTGCAGAGCTAGGGACAGAATAAAAGACAAGTGACGGAGAAGGGGGCAAGGGGAAGCGTGGGGTCCCCTGACACCAGAAAGGGTAGGAGGGTCAGCTCTGAGAGCTGGTGTAGGTAAGTGACCCAGTGGGCAGCTATGCTGGGGACAGGGTGGTTGAGCTTAGGCCACAGATGGGTAAGACCCTGTTTGTTCTGCTGGGTGGTAGCAGGGATGTGAGCAGAGGTGGGGCTGTCCAGGGGTGCAGAAGTCCAAGTGTGGGAGAAGTCTCAGGAGAGGAGAGCAAAGGTCATCCGTGAAATCGAAGGTCCTGGCTGCAGGGAGGGAAGTGAGCTCTGGCAGGGGGCAGCATTTGGAGGTCAGCAGAGGTCAGCAAGATGATGCTCAGCAGGTTAAGCATGGTAGAGAGGGAAGAGGGGAATAAGAGGATTTAAACACTGAAAATGTATGAATTGACCTGCATGCTCTAATAATGTGCCACTAAGCCTATGGAACTATACTATATATATATATATATATATATATATATATATATATATAGAGAGAGAGAGAGAGAGAGAGAGAGAGAGAGGTTATACTGAACAGAGCTGTGCTGTAATATTAAAAGCACACTGCAGTTCAACAGATGTTGAATAGTGTGTACAGTTTTTACATTGAGTACATATTTAAATCATAATGTTTTTGATATACTAGGTTAAATGCTATATGTATTAAAGTTGACTTCACTAGCTTTTAGCAAAAAATATAAATTACACATGGGGCTCCTGTTATATTCCTGCTTCATGCATAATAGCAACTTGGCTACCGCTTCCTCTGGCACATGAAATGACTGTCATGCTGTAGCCCCAGCATCTAGAACAGGGATGTGCACACATATATGGACGTGAACGGATGAAAGAATGGATGGGTAAGTAAATTCATGAATGATTAGGGTGTGAATGAATGAGCGATATATAGTTTTCAGGGTCAGTTTCTCCTACATTATTGAGGATTATTCTGTGACTACACAGCAACTGAAAGGGAAACAGAAATAGCTATAACCCAGGAAAGCTCACCTACACTTTCAGATAGAGAGTCTCAAAGAACATTTCAGGGGGCCTTGCTCAACAGATGGGCCTAAGAGTCAAACTCTGGCCTCACACTGTTTTTAATCCTTAAACACAGTGCTTCTGCAGCACTTTGGAGCACGCAGGGACTGTGCTAAGCGCTCTGTGTGGATGAACGCATCTGAACTCACATTTACATTGTGAAGGCGGCACACTTACTACCTCTTTTTTAAGGAAAAGGAAAACGAAGCCCAGAGATGTTAAATGACTCGTGCGGGATTAGGACACAATGGCATTCACAAAGGCCATCTGGCCCTGAAGGCACACCTCCACAGCACAGGGGACTTTGCAGATAGCACCTTGGCCAGTACCCAGGAGGTGCCTGCATCCCGCCCTGCCAGGGACCCTTCTTTCCAGCCTCAGTCTGGACATCTCACTCGAGGCACAGAGCAGCCAAGAATCCCACCCGCAGGTAGCAGTGCCCAGGAGACGCCCGAGTGACACCACCAGAGACTCCAGGCCAGCCTCTGTTGGACACCCCCAGGGACACCCTGGACTAGACTCTCCACCCTCGCGCAGCAGCCCTCGCCTAAGGAGGCCCCTTCAAGGCCACGCATAGCCTGGAAGGGCCAGCAGGAAGCGAAAGGCCACCTCCCTCTTCTCTCAGGAAACTGTGAACAATAACGCATTTACTTATTCTCCCTCTTAGAAAGTTGTTTAAATCCTTTGAAGAATCTTGCAAGGCAGCTTGACTAGACAGCAGGCAGGACAGTCCAGCGCCTCGGGCGGGGAGGCCAGGGTCTGCCACTGGCCTGTCTTTTGGTCGAGCAGGTAGGCATTGGGGTTGATGGTGTAGTCCTTCGTCTGGATGTTGCTGGTTGTGGTGACACCTCCACAGACAAACACTTTGTCGTCTCCGATGGAGCATATGGCATGGGACACATCCAGGGGACAGTCGTTGGGCAAGAGAGGCACGGAGGCGGTGGTCTTGTTGGCCTTTATCTTCTGCAGGTTGATCTCCACGCTCTGCCGGTGGCTGTGCACGCAGAGGATGTTTTCCTGATGGAAGGACAGCAGGGGCCGGTGGTTGAACTCGATGGGGAAGGTGATGCACTGGACCACCTCCCCGGTGCTGGTGTCGAAGCAGTCCACCACCCCGACACGCGAGATGTAGCCCTTGACCAGGCAGCGGCCGGTGACGATGTAGAGCTTCCGGTCGCCCTTGGTGATGACCGCGGTGCCGTCCATGGGGATGCTCATCTTGCCCGCCAGGGACCAGGCCTCCTTGCGCTCGTCATAGCGGTAGATGTTGGACACGTAGCGCCTGGGGGCGATGCTCCCGCCCACCGAGTACACCGAGCCCCCGCAGGTCACCATGGTGTGGAAGACCAGCCCGATGGGCAGGTCGGGCAAGTTGGTCCAGGAGTTGTCGTCCATGTCGTAGCGCCACGCCGTCTTCAGGCCTGAGATCTGTTCCGTGGTGCCCCCCGAGACGTAGATGTAGCGCCCCGCGGAGGTGGCGCTGAGCGCCGCTGCCCGGTAAGGCATCTCGGACAGCTTCAGCCACAGGTTCTCCTGGATGATGTAGGCGAACACGCCGTCGTTGAACTTGCCCTGGGCCTTCTGGCCGCCGAGGATGACCACGGAGTCCAGCAGGGAGCCCTTGCGCTGGTAGCCCAGCAGGCTGCAGGGCCGCTCCTGCTTGCGGTCGCCCAGGACGCTCTCGATGAGGGTGAGGTGGCACGAGTTGCTCTCCATGCCCACCAGCTTGTTCCTGGTGAAGGCCAGCGTCTTGTTGGTGACCGCGTTGAGGTTGATGTAGCTGAAGAACTTCTTGAAGTACTTCTCACGCTCCTCCCTGCGGAAGGACACCCAGTTGAGCAGCGCGCTGAGCGCCTGGTCCTCGTTGAGCACGTGCAGGTTCTCGTCGCGCAGCAGGCGGCCGAAGATGACCGGCGGGCAGTGCAGGAAGTGCGCCGAGCCCTCGGGGCCCGCCCAGTAGTGGAAGTTGTCCCGGATGCCCGAGTAGGCCAGGTCCGACACCTCTTTGAGCTCGAACAGCTCGGCCAGGAAGAGGTAGCGCAAGCAGTTGGCCCGGCGGATGGACTTGATCAGGAAGTCGGTGCAGTGCACGCGGAGGTGCGGGGTGTTGAAGTACTGGGCGCCCCGCAGCAGCTCCTCCACGTTCTGCTCCGAGATCACCACCTTGCCGCTGTAGAAGTAGTCCAGGAGCTGCTCCACCGTGGCCGCACTCAGGTAGTTGGGGTCGATGGAGATGAAGAGCTCGTCGGAGGTCTTCACGTTGTTGCTGGGCAGGAGGTTCTGCACCAGCGGGGAGACGGCGGCCAGCACGTTGCGGTGTGCAAAGAAGACGTGGTTGTCCACGGTCAGGGCCATGTCCCAGCACTCCCGTCGTTTCCGCTGTTTGTTCAGGCTCTGTAGCACAAAGCTGTTGTAGTTTTTCTCAGTGAACTCCAATTTCATGGTGCTTCTGGCTGGCTGGGCCAGAAGATCGGCAGCAGCTACCAGAGAACAGAATTTCTGGGGCCTGGCGATTCAGATTGATGGTTGCTTGCAGGGAGCGGGTGACCAGAGGGGAGTGGGGGCGGGAGAGAGGGTGATGTCATAGAGTGGATGAGGTCATCACAATGCAGGCCGGAAGCCTGTCTCAGAGGCACAGGGCTGGGCCTTTCCTCCCTCAGATGGCTCCCATTGCCAGGGCCAAGGGCAGTGAGTTGGCGATAACCAACAGTCCATAGGTTGGACCTTGTTGACCTATGGCCTCGGGCCCAGACTTCTGTACATAGCTTAAGGAGGGGCTGCCTTGCTCACCCAGGGCTTTGTCACTGGAGTGTCAGAGCCAGTTTTTGTGGGGCAGTGGGGGGAGAGGAGGAGATGGATGTGGTGTTACTGGATCATCTGGGAGAGCCCTCCTATTTTTATAGGAGGGAACCCTGGTCCCTGAGAATATAAAGCAGAACTCAGAGAGAAATTTAGCCTCTTTCTTCCTCTGGAAAACATTCTCTGCTTCAGAAAGCTACTTGCCTGGCAACCCTTTCTTCAGTAATGGGGACTTGCAGCTTTCCCACAGAGACCCTGTGTTTTCTCATTGATGGGGGAGATGCTTCTGGCCCTGCATCCCCAGCTGCTGTGTAGTGAGCTTTCTGGGGTCTCAGGGTGGGGCTGCAGAGCCACCTCCAGTCCTGGAGCTGCTGCCTCCCCCAGGCCTGTGGGTTCCCTTTCCCCTGTGCTTCCTAGTGCTCTGGGCTCCCCAGAGGAAAGAGGCTCTGGAATTCAAATGGCTGGGTTGAGGTTCACAGCCAGGCAGGCACACAACAGTCCCCACTTGAAGGATGGAGCTCCTGGGCCCCATGGTGGGTGTGAGCCTGTCAGAGAGTAGCAGGCATCCAGGGGCAATGTCAGGTTTCTGAGCCCTGGGAGTGCAGCTGGGTGGGCGAGTGCAGACTGCCAGCTGAGCCTCTGCAGGCTCTGTCCTCCTGGTCCCTGCCTCATTTTCCTGGAGTTCCTAGGAAGGATCTGTAGGCTGCTGCCTGTGCAAGGAAGGGGTAAGGGCCAGCAGAAGCTCCCTGGAGGAGCAGAACCCACAGTGTTTGGGGATTCTCAAGAAAGGCCTCAACACACAGGCTACTACTGTGCTGGCAAGACCGTTGGCCAGTACCCAGCTCAGTCTGTCCCATTCTGGTTGTTTCCATTCTGGCCCTCAAGCCCCATTCCGAACTCAGGGGTCCTGAGCACCCCTCCCAGGAGACGTTGGCCACCTGGGTAGCGAGCCTGAGGCTCTTTCCTCCCTGGCTTGGGTTCTCGCACTTGTGTACTATTTCCTCTCCACCCCTCTCATTCAAGACCTAGTCTTTAAATGCTTACAGACTGGTAATTTGAAGACTTATTGTGAAAATCATTGCTCTAGTCCAGCCTAGTGGCACAGGCCTAGAATTTCAGCATCAGGAGGCAGAGATAAGAGGATTGGCAGGTCAACACCAGCTGGGACTACGTAAGACTATGTCCCAAGCAAAGTACAAAGTGTTGACTTTGTTCATCCTGCTGCCTGTGTGGCTTCTGCACAAGTCTCAGAACTTCTGTGTCCCCTTGGAGGAAGGCTTAGAGTTCAGCCCCTCTGCCAGAGTCACTGTGTGGCTCAGCTTGATTCCACCACCCTTTCTCCTCCTCAGAAAATTAGTTGCATACCGAATGCTTCTCCAGCTCTGACCTGAGAAGCAGAGTCCACTTGGCTGAAGGATGCTGCTTCCTGGGGCTGATGGCCAACATCCTCCGATCTCAGTGGCATCCTGCAGCAGACCTTACCTCCTGCAAGGTCACTGTGCTGGATCAGGGGCCAGTGCATCCCAGTGTACCAGAACAGTGAGGGACTCTGTCATCAGATGCTTCTAGCCAGAGATGACCTGGGAGTGTGTTGGGGACTGGACACGCCAAGTTCTGTGTGCCAGACCTCCTCTGGGTGGACACACAGCATCCCAGCATGGGGAATTCAACTCACAGAGCTAGGGCTGTGTCTGCTACTGGACAGAGTCTTGTTATGCAGTTCAGGTTGGCTTTGAACTCACTTTGTAGCCCAGGCTGGCCTTGGACTCACAGCGATCCTCCTACCTCATCCTGTGAGTGCTGGGATTATAGGCATGCACCCGGCTATGTCCTGTTTGGTTGGACTGTGGGGCTGCCATCTTTAAGATACCACTCAAGAGCATGCAAGCAGGAATACTCCTATAATTCCTACTACTCTGAGGCTGATGCAGGAGGGTTACTAGATATGTACCATAATGAAACTCTGGCTCAAAAATTCCATTAAAGTGAACACTCACCTGTTCAACACTGTCTGGTATTTTTTTTTTTAGTCCTGGAAAGCACCTTTTTCGTTAATCTCCACAACTATGGAAACCCTCCAGCCTAGAGGTTGGCTGCATGCCAGCATCTGCCACCTGGCTCTATGTTTGTGTACTGTTGTGCCTAGCAGTCACCAGGGAGTTCATTGACCAGTAAAGGACCAGGGCCACATCACTTTACCCACCCTCAGGTTCCAGCCCAACCCAGCATTTTCTGTTTATGGAGACTCTAGGGGAGGGTACTCTAATACTTGAATCTTCAGAGAACACCAACATAATAGGTCAGTGTATCCTGGAGCCATGAAGAAATTGAGGGCCATGTTTTGAAGATACCCAGAATTGGCTGGAACTAGAACCTTCCACACCCTTTCCTCCTGTACCTAATGACTGGCTTTTTCACTTCTGTCTTTCCCACTCTTAAGGGCCCTATTTTGAATTCATGGCATCCTTATTTTTTTCAGTTCTATTCCCTGTGTTTCAGGTCAGCTCCCAGGACTTGACCAGCCAAGGGACTGGCTGCTCTTAGATCAGGTGTCCACTGTAGCCCAATCAGCTGTGCGTTCATGGGTTACATGGTTCCAATCTTGGCTGCCTAAGCAAAACAGTTCACAGGGGAGGGGCTGGAGGTATTCTGGGAGCTGGAGTTACTCATGACAGGAACTCAGAGTCATGAACTGCCTCAGCTAATAACTAAGAATTGGGGATGAATCAGAGTGGAGGAAGATTACACAAAAGAAAAAGATTTTATTATTAATATGCCCTGGATGAAATGAGGGGTACAGCGTACGACTATGTTCACATTGCACCATGGACTTTCAAAAGTTGTTTCAAACACTGGCTGGTCCAGACTGCAGGCCAGTGACCCTTCCCTGGACCCTGCTATCTTGGCAGGCCCAGAGACCACAGTTGCAAAGACAGTTAGCTGGGGCATCTGAGAGTCTCCTCCCACACAGACCTTATAAAACTGCTATTCAGGGAAACTCTGTAGTTTGAGGCAAAACTCAGAGCCAAATTAGGGCTTCTAAGCCCCCTGCCTTGGACACCTCCTTGGAGCATTTGAGTTTGTCATGCATTCCTGGAGGAGCAGCAGCACAGCTGCAGCGACAGCTGCCAGGAACTGGCTTGGGCTTCGCCCTGTGTAGGGGAAGGGCAGCGGCTTCTGCTTCCTCCCGGGGCCCTGAGTGAGCTCACTCGTCCCCATACTACTGATTTTATCCACCCAAGGCCACTTGGCCCGGAGCCCAGGCAATGCAAGCGGCTGTCTCCACATCAGGCCGGCCGCTTCACAGGGTTAGAAGGGCATTCCAGGGCTAGCCAAATTACTCAGCAGCACACTGAGCTCCGAAATACAGAACAGCTGAAGAAAAAAGGTGTATGTGGGTGGCATGGGTGGCGGTACTGAAGTTTGATATTTAAAGGTAGAAAAATGAAAGGAAGTAAAGTTATTTTCTCCATTTGTTCTTTGACAATACCATGAGAGGACCTAGGAGGCCTGCAGGATGACATCATGTTTGACACTGAGAAATCTCAACGGCTCCATGAAATGCAGCCCCGGGCTGCTCTGTGCATCTGATGCCAGCTGCTTTCTATTATGCATTTCAAGCTATGTCACATCGAAATGAGGGTTTAATATTCAAATATCTACCAAAAGTAGACACAACACATGAAGATCAGATAAACTTCCCATCTTGGGATCACAAATATTTGGAATACAAAATGTCCAAGGATGAATATTAGAAGTAAGAAAGATACAAAAGAATTACGCTTTAAAAAAAATTTAAAAACTTAAACCCTCCCCAATCCAAATAATTGTGGTCTGGGTAACCCTCTGGGTAAGGCTTCGGATACTGGTCATTCCTTTAATCAGTGAGCTGTATATCTACAAAATGTGCCCAGGCGATGCCCACATGCATCACAAACCAGGCACATACATCCACAGGGACAGACACGTAGCTGTCGCTCATTGTTCTAGGGCACTTCACATCCGTGTTCTTAGACTCACACCTTCCTGTTCGGCTCCACAGGTTACTTCTTTGGAGGCAGAACATTTTCTTCGAAGAAGCCAGGGTTGACAACATTCCCTGCTGGGAAGTATCTGGCCACCACAAAGGAGGACCCGTCACTGGCAGATGCCTTCCCCACCCCCATCTTCTTTGTGTTCTTCCACACCATGGCTGTGAAGTGTCCTGTAAGAAGCAGGCAGAGGGAGAGGGCAGCCCATGAGTTAGTGGAGACCTACTAGAGATGTCACAAGCGGTTTGTGAACTCTTACCTGTTCCTGCCAGGCTTGACAGCTTGATCTTAGCAGATACCAATCAGAAGAGGAAAAGGCAAATACGTCAACTGCTTTGTTGTTTTTTGAAACACAATCTCATGATGTAGTCCAGGTTAGTTGGCCATGAATTCATGGCGGAGCCCAAAGTGGCCTCAAACTCTCAGAGGTCTTCCTGCCTCGGTCTCTAAAGTGCTGGGATTACAGGTAGGTGTTATTCCACGTGACTCAACTGTCAGATTTTGTGCCTATGTGTATGGTGCTAGAGACTGAACCCAGGGTCTTTGCACTGAGCTACATCCCCAGCCCTTCCAACCCACTCCCAAACTGCAGTCTGCGCAATCATCTCCACGTTACTCTTCAATGGTCCCTTTTTTTTTTCCTTCCAGTGCCAGAATCTTCACACTGAGCTACATCCCCAGTCCCTTCTAAATTTTTAAAAATTTAAGATGGGGTCTTGCTCAACTGCCAGGCGGAGGCTCAAACGTGCAGTGCCCCTGCGTTGGCCCCCCAGACCACCAGGACTGCGGACATGCAATGCCATACCTGTCTTCATCTTACTGACACAGGAACATTTACTGCAGCTGACACCTCCCCATCCCTTTTTAAAGTACTCTTCCATGGGCTGTTGACATTCCTCCTGTCTCCCTGCAGCCATTTCCACCTCTTCCTCTTCCCTCTTCTCCTCCTCCTCCTCTGTCTCTCTTATAATGTTAGAGAACCTCTATTTCCCAGGACTCAGTCCTGGTCTCTTTGCTCTCTACACTCTTGTTTAAGTGAATTTATTTTTCCCTGGCTCCTAAATTTATTTCTCCATCTCAAATCTCTGTTCAGTGTTCCAAGCATAAAGGCTTACTGGATATTTCCACTTGGATGACTCACAAGTACCTCAGCTGCAATCCATCTAAGACTGCTTTGGTCCCCCAGGTTAACTTCTCTTCCGACCCTCCCTCTTGTGTCAGCAGCACCGTGGCGCTCTCCTTGCTAGGAGTGGGCTGCATCCTCCCTTCTCCTGATTCCCCTCAGCAGCCCATCACTCAACCATAAGGATTCAACTTGAAAGGGCATCTCAAAGCTTTCTCCTCTTAAATCTTTGGTCCTATCCAAGGTTTCTTTTAGGGACCACTGGAACACTGCCTGACTAGTACTGGGGGTCCACCTTGGCCCCTCCCATTCATTTTTCACTTAAGTAGCCAGAGCTACCATTTTGAGAACAAGAATCATATACACTGACTTCCTTGCATAAAAATCCTTCACATACTCCCACCTGCACCTAGAATGAAAATGAATACTTTGGCCTAGTGGCCTCCTTTCCATTCACTAAACATGCTGATGCACACCTATAATCCCAGCACTCAAGGTGCTGGAGTAAGAGGATGTGAATTTGAGGCCAGCCTCGGCTATACAGTAAGACCTTGTCTCAAAAATAAAAACAAAGCAGGACCAAAAATCCTCAAACACTAGGCTCTTTCCCACAGAAGCAATACACTGGCCACTGTGGAAAACTTGTGATGACCAATCATTTCTTGTCCCTTAGGACTCAGGTTAAAAATGGCACTTGTTCAAAGAAGCTCTTTTAATCATCCTTTTATTTGCTGAACACCTCTTACACTCGGATAATTCTCTGTATTGTTTACGGGCATGGAAAGTGGGCCAGCTACTAAGGAAGACAGAATGGCAGATCCTCAAAAAATTAAACATAGATTTACCGTAGGATTCAGGAATTTCCCCTCTCGGTATAAAAGTAGAATAGTAGGCACCAGTGTTAGGAGGTGCTTAAGAAGTACAGAGTTTCAGTCTGTACAGCAGAGCTGGCCACAGTGACACCTGACGTAATCCCAGCTCTCTGGGAGGATGAGGCAAGAGGTAGCAAATCTGAGCTCAATGTCAGCAACTTAGCAACTTAGTGAGACTGTGTTTCAAAATCAAAGGTGAAAAAGGGCTGAGGATGTAGCTTGGTGGAAAGTACCGGGAGTTAAGCCTCAGTTTAAAAACATTTTTGGAAGTGTTTGCATAACCTGCAAATGTATTTAATGCCACTGAATTGTACACTTAAAATGGTTACCACAATGTTTTATATTATGTATGTTTTGCGACACATTAAAGAGAGATGTGACAGCTGTCTTGATTGGCAAGTTAACTGGATCAACAGATGTCTAGGAAGTTAGTAAAGCAGGCTTCTGGGTGTGTCTGTGATGGCAAGGTGGGCGAGAGCCAACCCTGAATGTGTGTGGCACCATCCAAACGCGTGGGGCCAGACAGACAAAATCGGAAGGAGGAAGAAGCCAGCCAGCACGCTGGCTCTTTCTGGTCTGGTTGCTGTGAAAAGCTCAGCTTTCCTCCGCCCTTCCGCCCCTTCCCCATGATACCTCCGCCTGGCCACCGGCCTAACATCAATGGAGCCAGTTTCCCATGGACTGAAACCTCTGAATCTGCGAGCCAGTGCTAATCTTTCCTCCTCTAAGATGGAAAACTCAAGTTCAGCCCGTGTACCTGAGGGAGAACCTGCCTCAAATGAAAGGGGGGTGGGATGGGAGATGTAGCTCACTACTAGGCCCTGGGTTCAATCCCCAGCACTGCAGAACAGAACAAACAAAACAAAAACAGCCCCAAAGAAATGCTAATTCATATCAACAATATGATACAATTAAGGCAAGAATGAAAACAATTCCCTAACTATACACTGTCGTCACCAACCTTGGATCAACCTTGGTCAGTGAGCTCTGGTTCCCACTCCGGGCAGAAGGAAGCTGCCTGCCTATCTCCCTGCATCCTTAACGCTGACGCAGCTCAGGCGCTTGGCAGCTGTGTGAGGCTGCTTCTCTGGGCTGCCTTTGGCCAGGGCTCAAGCCTTTCCCCCACAAGCCTTCCTGAGAGGAACCCACGTGTTTGACCATTAATCACCCCCCACTCAGTCTCCCAGAGAAACACGAAGCCCCCATTTACTCAGAGCTTCCCAAGAAAACAAACACATACATGCGCATGTCAGCAGCGTAAGTGCTGCTGGCAGCTTTTTCCAAGCAGATATCACTAAGTAATCTTTCCTCTCGCTGAGGAGGTTTCTATCTGTACAGAGATAATTAAATTAGGGGCATTTAGAGACTAATTAAAGGATACAGCTCCCTTGGCAACCATCAGATACACAGTGGTTTCTGACTAGTTTACCAACAACAGTTCCTTATTCTTTTCTCAAAGGATCACATCCTCTTTCTTGAGGTGAACCCAAATCCCCAGAATGCCTTTGAAATACACACTGTATAAATTACAGTATGTCCTTCAAAGGAATAATGTTACTGACTGTCAAAACTTGTTTTTTTCGGATATGGAGCAATTTCTGACAAATGTGAAGCAGGTCACACACTGATGCCAGAGTTTTAATAAAGGAAGAAGAACATATGCACGTCCATGCTGACATAAGCTCAGACAGCTACAGTGAAAAGCTAGGCAGGAGCCACAAGTGTAACCCAAGCACCTGGAAGGCTGAGGTAAGAGGACTGCAAGTTTTCTGTCACTGTGTGTTACAGAGTGAGACACTATCTCAAACAAAAACCAAAAAAGTTTTCACTAACAAAACCAAAAAAATTTTGACTATCAAAAATCAAAAAAGAAAAAAAATTATATACAAGAAATTGCCAGGCTGGGCAAAGTGGTGCACGCCTGTTATCCTAGCACTCAGGAGGCTGAGACAGGAAGATCACCCTGCCTTCGAGGCCAGCCTGAACTACACAGTGAGAATCTGTCTCTAAAAACCAGAAAAGAGAGAGAGAGAAGAAGAAAGAACAAAAAGAAAGAAAGAAAAAAGAAACTGCCCTCACTGATTATCTCTTGGAGGAAAGTGTCAGAGGTCAGAGCTTATGTGGCTTATACTGTATTGCTTTCAAATTCCATATCATTTAAAAGGATTACTCATTCAGAATAGATAAAGAAACCTACTCATTTAAACAGAATATGACAAAGTAAGCATAAAAGATGCTTTTCTTCATGCTGCACAGAGCAAGGATCAGAATCCTTCATCACGAGAAGCTAGGAGAGTGGGCTGGGGAGACAGAAACATTTAGGGTAGCTCAAACATCCCTGCATCTGGAGGACAGACTAAGGGAAGAGAACCTCTAAACAGTGGTGCAGCCTTAGGCTGCGACAGGATGGGCTTGAGGCTCTTCGAGAGTCTTACAAGCCCATGTGTTGGGGTGAGGCTCTGTCCATCCCCAGCGCTGTCCACTGGCACTGGGAGGGCACTGGGCTGGCTTCCTGGGGCCTTCCTCTTTAGGGAGGAGAGATGCAGGATGACGGGTGGCCGGACAGTGACCTTAGGGATTTGAGTCCCATCCCCAGCTCTGACTCATGAAATTCCTGCCTGGAAGAAGGGGCCATGGAAGAGGCATTGGATCAAGCACAGAAGACACAAGAAAAGCCCTTCGCAGGCCTCAGTGTCCTCTTCCACACAACGGCAGCACCAAGCCCTGCTGTGTGAGGCTGGCGTGGTCATGGCGGCCGTCGGGGCCGTGTCACTCCCCCGGGTGCATCAGGAACCGTGCCAAGAGCTCACATCCACTCGTGTCTGACTGCTCAGCAATCTTGTTCGTAGGAAAAGTAATTCCAGAAGCTACGACGTAAAACCTCTCCGGGCGTGTATTTCTGGGGAAAGCAGACAAGGCCCTGCCCACACATCCTTAACCACAGCTCACCCCTCCATGGTTCTGAGGCTGTATCAACTCTCACTCAGGCCCGGCAGGACCGGGAGGAGCAGGCCCCAGAGTCCTGAAGTGATGCAAGAATCCCCACCTCTGAGAGGGAGCAGCAAGCCACAGGAAACTGTGACTGGCTCTGACAGTGTCACTTCCTGCTTGTGAAGAAACCCTTCTGAGGGTAAGAGCCCAGAGTGGCTCTACCCGTGGGTGGGAAGGCAGGCGGAGGGCATGGCGAAGACCAGCAGTTCCCTGGTGTCTGCCCCCCAGATTCACACACCCTCTGAGCCCCTCCTGAGATCAGGCAGAGTCTAAGCCAGGTCTGAGGGAAGACAGGCACCTGAGGAGGTCAGCAAAGGGCCAGAGGACTGAAGGAAGAAGACTGGAAGCCAGAGTGGCTAAGTGCTGAGGCACCAGCCCTGGAAGCTCTCAGCAGCCTCTGCCATCCAGGTTTTGGAGACTGCGCTGCAGAAATGTGAGCAGCTTTGAGCAGGGGGCAGGCAGAGGGTGCACATGCGGGGAACAGTTTGGGAAGATGTCAAGGAAAGGCAAACTTTGCCCTCACCAAAGACAGAAACCCAACCTACAACCTGTGCAGCCACTGGCGGCACAGCCACTCACCGGTCCCTGAGGTGAAGCCAGGCTGCTGGAAGTTGTAGTTCTTGATTTCACTGTACCATCTATCAGCCACTTCCTTTCCTGTATGGAAAAATCAGTCAGCAACCAAGCCCACCCACTCTGTAGCCCTCTGTCTGTCCCACAGACCCACACCACCCGTTCCACAAATAGAGATCTGATAGAGTCCCTCCCAACAACTCCTGCCCGTGGTCTATCCGGGCTGAAGAGAGAGGCCCAGTGGAAGTCTAGGAGAGCTTTGTCCTGGGCTGAAAGGTCTGGGAGAAGGGGCCCGCAGCAGGCTCTCTGCCCTCTCTGCAGTCAACAAGGAGGCTGAACACACGCAGCGTGCTCCAAAGGCCTTCTAGTCATGCTTAGAGTTTCTGGGAGACTCCCTCATCCCACCCCATGTCTGGTTCATGAAGTACCCACTGGAAGAAAGATGACCAACAGCCCAGGGCTAACAGCCCAAGGTCTCCATTGCGCAGGGAGCGCTTGCCTGGGGCATCCACTGCCCTGCAGGATGGCAGGGCCAGAGGAGGGAGCTCAAGAGCTGGGCAGGAAGTCTTATGCTCTACGGTGGCTAGGAATCATGGGGATCTTGTTGAACTGTACAGACTCCAGATCAATAGATCTGGTCTGAGTAGCCCATGCTCCTGCTTTTCTAACAAATAACTGATGCTGGTTCACAATCAAATCCTAACCTCACCTTAGGACCACTTCTAAAACTGGGCCTGGGGCCTTCCTCAGAGTGGGTGTCGCATTCTCTCTGAAAGCTCTGAATAACATCCCACAGCACGGAGGGGTGGGGACCACCTAGGCAACCCCTTCTTTACAGAGGTGGGGACCCCAGGCCACAGAGGGCAGTGACCTGATTCAGGTCCCCCAGGGGCCTAGCCCAAGGCTGGGAAGGAACTGCATCTGCTGCCTGCCTGCCTGCCTAAGGCCCTTCCCATCCCCCGTTTTCTCCCAGGCTGAGTCTGAGTGTGCAGGAATGGGAGCCTCAGAGCAGGTCTGCTTCCCCTAGCAGGCACACAGCTCCCCACCAGGGGCGGCCCAGCTGTGCCAGGAAAACCGAGAGGCCCCAGGGGCTCCCCGGGGATCTCCCAGGAATGTGAGGCTGGGAAGGGAGTGAGTCATCTTCCAGACAGGGCCTGGACAAAACCTCAGGGATCAGCCAGCCTTCTCTGACAGTTTTCCTAAAAAGCCCTTTCTGGGCTGGAGGAACAGAAGAGACCAAGAATGTTTGGTCAGTGTGGTGGGATCTTTCCAGACTGAGACTAACATAGGAATTGTCTTTCCCATTTCCTGCCCCCAAATGTAAAGAAGTGCTATCACTTTTCTCTGATTATAAAAGTAATATACCAGCTCTGTAAAAAAAGATATAACTTAGAAAACTGAAGAAAGTATTTCTCAACAGCTGAAAATGCTTTGACTGCTGCAGAATCAGGCTGAGACACTGTCCAGAACTGTCCTCTCCTGCCCTACTCCCCAGACTGGGAGCTTCCAGAGGAGAGCTGGTCAATGAGACCCACGTCACTGTCCCTGGCTCTTGGTGCTGCCTTGGCTCTGAGCCCGCCCTCAGGGACACTGTGGAAAACTGAGTCACCTTGGAGCAGACACAGAACCTGGGTTTCCTTTCCCTTTCCTCCTCCTCCTTTCCCTGCAGTGACACAGCACCTGCACCATGCAAAGTACCAAGGAGGCCCTGGCTTAGGCCCAGCCCCGCAGCTGGGAGGGGCCCGAGGAAGTGACCCACCTGTCTGATCATATGATGCCCACGCGAGGTTCTCCCCACACTGGCCACGACTGGACTCCGGGCTGTGCTTGAGGATCCTCGTGCTGGCCAGGGCTTCGGAATACCTGCCGGAATTCATGGTGTTTCCTCAGAGGAGGCAGAGCCAGAGGACGCCCCACACATGCCTGCGCCCAGGCTGGTGTGACTAAGCTCCCCTCCTTTCCCTGCCAGAGCTTTCGGGGGCACAGGGGGCACCATACAGCTGGCCTGTGGGCTTCCCAGCAGTCCTGTTTTACCCGAGAGCAAACAGGCTCGGCCATGCCTGGGTTAGTGGCAGAGAGGTACTCAAGTCTGGTTCTCCCTGATCCCCAACCCCACATCCCTCCAACCACCCTGGGCCCTCAGTGACTGAGGCAGTGGCCCCGTGGAGGGCTCAAACCCCTGGGCGCTGGGCACTCACTGCTGGGCCTCTCGGTTGAGCTTTGAGCAGAGCTTCAGCGGGGGGACACCGTGCTGCCGTCGGTACTCATTGTGGGCCTTCAGGACCTCGTTATTAAACTGTTTGGAGGCTGAAACGATAACAGAGGAGACCAGCTCAGCACAGAAAAAAGAACCCCCCAAAAGTGCAAGGCGTACTCAGGGCGACACCCGGCTTTCCTCAGGTCACATGGACAACTGCTGTCCCTTCCCATTCGGGGAAGCCCAGTTCCTCACCACTGCCCATTCCCTCGTCACCCCTCCACGTCCCTCCATATCTATTGTCTTTTTTTTAAGGAGAAAAACAGAAAAAAAGCCTAAAAATTTCAAAGCACATCAACCAGGAACATACACTGCGCACTGTCGTCCCCATCCCTGCATTCTGGGCCAGGTTAGAGGTTTGGGTCTCTACCCACGGCAATAGGAAGGCTCTGGGCAAGAGCAGGGCAGGGAGCTGACTGGACTTTGTGCTTCTGAAAGACCCTGCGGGCTGCTGCCTGGGGGATGGATGGGAGGTACAGAGCGGACGATGAGGGCCGGACGGTCAGCAGCAGAGCTGCTGGAAGGGAAAGTCAGAAGAAGCCCAGAAACCTCAGGTTGGGTGGGGCGGGGCGGGGCCTGGCAGCCCAGGTGGGAGCCCAGAGAGCAAGAGCCTAGCTGCGATGGAAAGCATCTTGAAATCAAGAGAGAAGGATGAAGAAAAGGGAAGCCAGGCGCAGTGGCACACAACTGTGGCCCTATTTATTTAGACTGTGCCCCCTTGGTGACAACCTCAGAAAAGGCAAGGTCCAGGGGACTGGGTTAAAGAGAAAATAAATGGGTGAAGCCAAAGGGCAGGCAACATCAACCGTGGGCTACCAAAACATTTGGATTTAAAATGGAACCCCAACCAACCAACAGCTTTTACATATCCATCCAATACCCAGACCAACCTCCATCCACCCAGACCTCCACCATCCCCATCTTCATTTCATCCATCGATTCATCCTGTGTTCAGCAGCAGCATCTATCCATCCACCGTCCGTTCAGTCCCAGTCCCTGTATCTGTCCTTCTGTTCCTGGGGCATCTTCTGCATGCCAGGTCTCACACTGTGTGCTAGGGCTCAGAGACAAATGAGCCCCAGCTTGCCCTCAAATACCCTCACAGAAGGAGCACAACCTTGGAAACATGTGAAAGAAGAGTGACAGGTGAAAAGAAAGGCCAGTGGACATTTTCTCATGAGTTTTAGCTCTTACTTTCTTCTGAACCCCATAAATGTGAACCCCATTAAATTTGTCTACTGTGCAAATATTCCAGAGCACAGGGTGCTCTACCTCTTGGACAGAAAACCTTGTGCAAACACAAGACGAACCAGAGAGTCAAAATCTGATCCTGAGGACAGCATGCCTGTAAGTTGCTCATTTCCTTTGATACCTTACAAACCCTTACTCTTTTTTTTTTTTTTTTTTTTTTCTTTTTGTCTTTTTCCTTTTTATCGGTACCGGGGATCGAACTCACGACTGCCTGCTTGCAAGGCAGACGCTTATGCCGCTGAGCTAAACCCCCAGCCCCTACAAACCCTTACTCTTAAGAGAGATGCTTTTGGCACTTCAGAGCCAATGACCCACTAAGGTCTTTATCTTAAAGCCTGTCTTTACTGTAAGTTTTTCTTCTCCTTTCATTTCTTAGGATAGGTGCCACAAGGCAGATAACACTGGTGTCAGAAGAACTTGAAGAGCCACCTAAAGGTCCAGCGAATCATGAAGGAGGTGACTGACCTCCAATTTGAAGCTCCAAACAAGTCTGAATCAGACCCAACCAGGCTCAGACCATGAAGGGACTAGGTACCACGCCTTAAGTACTCCTTATTTCCTCGGCAGAACCAGGAGTGAGTGGAGTGGATTGGAAGGCCCACAGAGGGCTGGTCCCTCTCTGAAGTCTGGCTGTGGGTGGTGGCAGGAAGGATGTTTAACCAGAGCACAGAGGAAGTGCCACACACCTTCCTCTGCCCTAGGCCACATCTGCCAGCGCCCTTCTCTGTGCCTTTTCACCCAAGAGTGAGGAGATGGTCCAAATGGAGTTCTCCTTTATCCTCTGGCCAGAGATGGATCTTTAAGGCAAACATCATGAGGCCTCTCAGGGAAGGAGGCCCGGGGCTGGTGGCTGAGGAGGTGAAAAGCTGCACTTCTTGCCTGCAGCAGTTTAGGTGCCCAGAGACCTTCCAGTCAATGTGGGGGGAGGCCTGAGCAGACTCTGGGGCTTAGGGTGGCTGCACAGGAACGCATGCAGGGCAGGTATGACGAGGAGGGGCTCTGACTGGCGAGCTGCAAGATTTAGCTGACAGGTAGAGATGGGGCACAGGAGGAATGGCACTAGGTGTAAGCAGGAAGTGGAGCTATAATCTGAGGTCCTCACCTCTTTGGGATCAGAGGAGGGCCTCACCCTTGTTGACAGGAAAAACAAGGGCTGCAGGTCTTCTAGGGCAACAGGAAAAGGAGGTGATATTTACTAAGTATAGAGTTTCAGCTTTGCAAAACTAAGAAAGTCCTAAAGCTGTTTCACAGCAATGTGAAACCACCACTAAGACTATTGCTAAGATGGTACATTTTATGTCACGCGTTTCTGGGGAAATGGGGGAGCTAGAGCAACTTATGGGACTTGGGGACTCCAAGACAGTAGGTGGAGGAGCCAGCAGGGTAGTGTGGCACCAGAAACATGGGCTCTTGGGTGATGGGCAGCTTCACCCAGCCGGGCCCTGTCCTTGTCTGGTAAGAGGCAGCTATCAGAGGCTGGTCTTGTGAGGACTGCCAGTTCTGAGTATGTTTACCTGCGGGACTAAACTTTGGGGACATGGTGGTGGCTCTTGGTGAATTCTGAGATCCCAATAGGGAAAAGCTGGGACCAATGGTGGAAAGGGCAGGATGAAAGATTTCAGCTTAGACTAAGACTTCTCTCCCAACAAAAGCTTTCTGAAGCCAGGAAAGTGGTACCTCACAAGGTGCTGAGCTCTCCCCCAGCACTGGGGGCATGCAAGCAGGTAAGCCGCTCTCAGAAGGATTTAGAGGCTCAGTGGAGACTCTGATGACTCCAAAGCTGAAGTCCCATTGGGGTGGAGCTGAGAGAAGACAATATGAATTCAGACCTTTGGGAGCTTTTTGGGGGGGAGGCTATTGGGGGTCAAACTCACAACCTCACACTTGACAGGAAGGCAGTTGTGCTGCTGAGCTGTATCCCCAGCCCCCCGAGCTTTTTTAAGAAGCCAGAGTGATCAAAACAAGCACATGTGCTCAGGCAAGGCGTGTATGGATGGGAGCACACGGTCAGGGTGACGAAGAGCTGCCGGGTGAGCGGCAGGTGTGGCCAGGTCTATCCTGTCGTCCCTTCCGGTTCTCATGTGCCGTGGATGCTGCAGCCTCCTCAGCAAAGAGGGACATACAAGGCTGCTCAAAAGTAGGTCACTGCATTCTCAGAAGGAGGGCAGTTAGAAGAAACAAAAGTGAAAGTCCCAGCGCCCAGTCCAAGTTCAGTGCCCTGAAGTCAAAGCCAGGCGCTGTTCCCAGTACAGCAGGAGTCCCTGGGCCAGGAGTCTCAGCAAGAAGTCTGCTCCAGCCCCAGCTGGAAGCACAGGCCTCACGCTCTCCTCTTCACCGTCCCCAGAGTTCTCTCCCACCCCAGCAAACAGTTCTAGTCCAGGTGGCTCCTCTGAGCAGGGTGTGGGCCTGGGGAGGCAAATTATCAATGGTGACCGCACTCTGCAAAGCCACATCCCCTCTGGTACAAAAACCCAAAATCACAGATGAACAGAGGAAAAAACCACTTGTCCCAGTTAGGCAGGGAGAGCCCTCGGTCAACTCGTGATGGAGGAGGTACAGGGATTCAGGCTCAGAAAGGTCACCCAGCCTCAGTATGCCAGCCCAGAAACGGGGAGAGTCAGGCCTGTCCGCCCCAGGCTCAGGCTGTTTCTGGGTGCTGGGCCTAGGTGTGCCCTCAACTTCTCACTGCCTTCGTGGGAGTTTCCAGCACTGTATACACTTTGTGACTAAGAAACTGAAGCTTGAGAAGGGAAGTAAGCAAATCCTCCAGGAATGGAGTCCAGGGATGGGTCCACGTGGGGACACAAGGCCCTGTCCTGAGCCCCCACGCCGCAGCTCACAGGTAACAAGAAAACAGAAATGACAGGTGGATGTCCCAGGAAATGGGTCCAGCTGACTGGGGCCAGCTGAGGAAAGCAACAGATGACCAGAGACCTAAGGTGGGCAGCTGCCTTTTGAAAGGAAAAAAGAGGAAGGAAGGAAGAGGAGAAAAGAACTATGATTGCTCAAGAGCTTCCTTTGTGTGAGGTCTGAGAGGCCCTGGTGAGCGAGGGCCCCAGGCTGCAGCTACCAGGCCTCCTGGGGTCGGCAGGGACTGCCTGGACCTGGGGTAGCAGGGCAGCCATCTGCTGGGGTGCAGAGTTCCGGGAGTCCAGGTGGGCTTCGTACAGCCCTCTGGGGCACGGCCTCTGGGGCTGAATAGATTCTGAGGGAGTCCTTTTGTCAGGGACAGGTTTCTCCCCGGGCACATCTCCACCCTTCAGGTCTCTCTGACTCCTCTGTCCTCTCCACACTCCTTAGGAAGGAGACCATGACAGGGGACAGGAAGGAAATGTAAACAGGCCCCTCTGTCAGCTTGGCAAGAAACTAGACAGCAACCTGGTCCCACCTTGGAGGCAAAGCTGGTTTAGCCTGTTCTTCAGGAAGAAGGAGTCAAAAAGTAGAAAACTGAGTAAGAAAAGGTGCCCAGTGGGCAGCTCCTGTTCTTAAAGCCGGGGCTCCTCACAATTCAAGGCGAATCCCAGCTCTGCCTTTACCTGCTATGTGATCTGCTCCACCCATTCCCCATATCAAACCCCATGGGGCAGTTGTGAGATTAAGTGGATTAATACGGGAATGCTTTAGGATGGTTCTGGAACATAACAAACCGTTACGAAAATGTCAATTACACTTCTTAGATTGCATGGAACCCTTTAGCTCTGGCTTTGGGAGGACCTGCCCCATCATCTGATGTCTTCCCTGCCTTTAAGGTAAGCAGGGATGTGGTCCAGTAAAACCTTGGTTTGAGAGAATAATTCATTCTGCTAGTCATCTGTATATCAAGAAAGAGACAGAGAGTGTAGGAGAAAGAGAGATAGTTGTGATCATGTGACATTCAGCGTGACAGACTGTCTATACTGCAAGACAATGATGATTTATCAAGGTAAAATTTCTCAGAAATGTTTGCTCATCTTGCTGAACACTTACAAGCCAAGTTGCTTGCAAGCCAAGCTTGGCCATATTCCTATGGATTTTAAGCAGAGCGCCTGTAGTCCAGCTACTCAGGAGGCTGTTGTAGGCGGTCAGTCTAAGCCCAGGAATTTGAGGCCAGCCTGGGCAACACAGCAAGACCTTATTTCAACAGAGTCTCGCAGGAGTTTTCAGGATGACCAAGCCTGAATGTCCGCCATGTGAATGGTGTATGAGCAAATGAATGAAGTTATTGCATCTGCACTGAAGACAGATGTGGAAATTGGGTTTGGGGGCAGCATGGGAACTGCCCAAGGTCATCCACTGAATCACTCTCCAAATGGTTACGTCTTTCCCTAACGTAAAGAGAGGCAGCGAAGCCTTGCTCAACTGCTTATGGAACAAGGGACATTTCCTGGGGCAATACCTCCTCCAGGGTGCCCCTCTCAAATCGATGGCCAGACAGACATGCTTGAGGAAAGCTTGAAGGAGCCAGAGCCGGGGACCGTGGCTGCTGGGCTGGCCAATGTCCAGCCCTGCCTGTGTCCCTCAGCCCTGCCTAGTGACAAGTCTGCACCCTAGGCCCTAGGTTCCCCCTCTGTACACAGAGGAAGCGCTGATAGTTGTGGTTTTCAAAATGCCTTCAAAGCAGGGAAACTCTGAATGAAACCAGCAAGAGAAGCTGCAGATGAAAGGGGAGCTGCTGGGGTTGACTGGTCCTCACAACCTCACTCTCAGAGGGCCCACAAAAGGGAATCCTTGGACTAGTTCATCCTTAACAGTCCTCTGCTCTGATACCTCTGGTGCTAGGAGACGTGTCTTCAGATACACCACAATTCTTAGAGACAACTCGGGGGGGGGCCCACTGGCAAGGGTCCAGCTGGGAAGACAGAGAGCTGGATTCAAATCCCAGTTTGTTCTCTTGTCAGCCAGGGTGTGAGGTAGGGCAAGGGACTGAAGCTTTGTAAGTCTACCAAGGAGTTGACAGCGACAGTCTTGGTGCGCAACTGCAAAGCTTGGTAGCATAAAGCAGCTACAGCTCCTTTCCCGGTGCAGTAGGAGCCTCACGATTGGTATCATTATCGGGGCGAGAGGCTTTCCCTGAGCTCAAGGCCATTGCCTTCCTCTGCCCAGCACATATGCAGCCCACTGAGCCCCGCAGAGAGAACACAGCTGGGAGCAGGACCTGGAGTCTCCCCACCCTGCATGGAGCCGCTCCGGGGACTGCAGCCACATGAGCTGTGAAGACTTTAGGGTGCCCTTTACTCCAGCAGCTCTGGACCTCGTCTGCAGGGATGAAAAGAGCCGGGCTTTTGAACAGTGATGAGGAAACAAAGACTCCAAAAATGCTGGCACTGACCCCTTCGGGTGGTCATTTAGGTTCACACCCATGAGTGCTACTTCCCCGTGGGTGCGGACAGAAATCCCTGCAGGTAGCCCGGAACTCCAAGGTTGGGCTTGTGCTGAAGACTCACTTTGGTCACTCAGAAGTCACTTTATAGGGACTCTTAGAAGAGCTAGACACTAAGCTGGGGGTTGCCAGTTTCATAGAAGAAAAACAAATAACGTGCACTGGGCTGTAAGGGAGATATGCCTGAACTAGGATTCTGGAAGGTTCTTGAGCACAGGGAGGGTACCTAACTCACCCAGCTCTAACTTCCCTTCTGCCACCAGCTCCTTGCTCCTGAGTGTGGAGTCATTCTCCCCTGAAATCTGCCCGACTTTTGATCTCTAGTCCTAGATCACTGACATCTTGTATCCAGATGCACACCTCTGACCTCAGTAAGGTGTCACCAAGACCACTCACGGCCACTGCCTGGCAAATTCGTCTCCTCTTTCTCTCTGGCCTTTGCTTCTGCCCTAGATGCCTGCTACTCTTGTTTGTAACTGCAGACGTCTCCTCCATCTCCCAGCTCCATCTTCTCCCATTCTGATCTCCCCTCCATCCTAATACAACTCTGGTCCTTGCAGGTCCAGTGGGATAAAGCCCAAATTCCCATGACCCTATAGGATTCACCACTTTCTCCAGGATCCTTTGGTAAGGAAATCTCTTCCTATCCTCGCTCTGCATACCGGCTGGCTTGGATTACTTCCCATTTCTTTTTGGAGCATTGTGGTACCTGTCTATCCCCAGACCAGCTTACTCAATGTATTACTTTTTTTTTTTTTTTTTTTGAGACAGACTCTCACTATGTAGTCCAGGCTGGCCTTGAACTCACTGTGGAGCCTGGCTAGCCTCAAACTCACAGCAATTCTCCTGCCTCAGCCTCCCAAGTGCTGGGATCACAGGTGAACACCATCACACCCAGTCTCAATTTAATTTTTACGGTGCCAGGCAAGCTCTCTAACAGCTTTATTTATTCATTTTAAAATTCAAATGGCACTACTGAGCACAGGGCCACAGCTCCAGAGCACTAAGGCCACAGCTTGATACAGAACTGACAGATGGGGAGCTTGAGTTGTACCCCAGTGCTGAAGCACTGGCTAAGCACATATGCGGCCTTCGTTCCATCCCCAGCACCACAAGAAAGAAGAAAGAAAACCAAAAGGAAGAAAGGAAAGGGACGGGAGGAAGGATGAAGAGGAGAGAGAGCAGGATGAACAAATAGAAGAATGGACCCTCTGGTGAATATCAGCAGTTCCTGAATACCGTCAGGTAAAAAGTCAGAAAACTTATTAAAATGTAGTTTTAGAGAGTTTCTGGATTTTCTCCTACATCTACAGAGAAGTTGCTTTCTTGAGATTTCAGCACGCTCATTCACACCAGCCATAATTTGCCCAATCAGCACCTACTACTGTGTCTTTTGAATTACATGATGACCTCTTCTGTCACCTTTCCATTCTGCAAAGGACCTTGGAGATCATGGGTTGCCCTCCTTGTACAGATGGGAAAACCGAGGCACAGAGGGGTAAAGAGCAAGGCCTAATCTCATACAGCAAGTGATCACCAAGGCCAGGCCCCTCAAGCCAGGCCTGCCACTGCAGCCCGAGGTAACACACATCAGGACCAACGGCAGGGAAGCCCCTTCCTCCCAGTGCTGGCACCTCAGGAGTCCACGTTGTGGAGGACAGATCCAAGACAGGGGACAAGCCTAGTCATCCAAACCCGGCAACGCCTGTGAAGCGGGACATCTGAGCTCTGATAGCCAGCTGCTCCTTCCGAGGCAGGAACTACGCTGAGATAAACACAGACACTGCTGTCTGCCAGGAGCACGGAGGGGGGGGGGGAGCAGGCCTATCTGTGAACACTGGGCCCACGCCCACTAGAGAGGGGCTGCCGAGGCTGCCTGTCCCAGTCAGGGAACGGAGGATGGTGGCTCCTCGCACAGGACTTGAGCTCACAGGGTGGGGAGAACGCTGGGCTAAGGTACAGGATGGTGAGATCTAGACTAGGACACCAGGGAAGGGACCAAGTGTCAGCTGCAGAGCAGGGTGCAGGCAAAAGGTGAAGAGATGTCCAGAGGTCTGAGGGTGGTGCTGACAGTGCACGCTTTCACCCTGCAGAAGTTGGGGTGGGGTGGGGAAGCAGACAGGAAGTGACAGGAGTTCTTCCTTTCAGAAACTTCACCACAGCAGTCACCATGGTGAGGATGGGCAGCAACAGGTCAGAGACGAATAAGGAAGCCAGAGGCACTGGCAGCTGACCTGCACAGAGGGGCTCAGGAGAGGAAGAGCCAAAAAGAATGAAAAAGGTGGCTCAGAGCTGTTCTTAAGGTCCAAAAGGGCCAGCTGCTTTTGCTGGGCGATGCTGCCACAGTTTGGGGTCTTTTTCCAACCCTAAGTTTGTGCTTCTCCTGAAACAAAGCAAAAGCCACGCCTCGGCCAGCCCCCGGAGCGCTGATCCCTTTTAGCCCCTGGAAACCCACCCAGACACAATCTCTGGCTCCCAGCCAGGCAGGACCCTTCCCCGTCTCGCCTTCTGCCCGCTCTCCCCGTGGCCTCAACAGCCTTAGCTCCCTGGTTGCAGCAGAAACTGCCCTGCACTGCTCGCCTGGGCGCTTTGCCCGCTCGCCCTCCATCCTGCACCCGGGGTCCCGAGTCGAAGCCCGAGCCGCCTCCCGCGCGCGCAGGACCAGGTCGCTCGCTCTGGGGGACCGCGGAGGGCAAGGTGACAGCAAGGGCCAGGAGCCCGCTCGCACCCGGCCGGCGGCTCACCTGACTTGCCCATGGCCGGCTCCGCGATCCTCAGCTCCCGCTGTCCTGCGCTGCGCTCCGCGCGGCTTGGGGACCGGGGCGCGGCGGGGCGGGGCGGGGCGCGGAGGGGGCGGCACCGCCCCTCGCCTTCTACGGCAGCGCCGCCAGCGGCCGAGGCGCCCGGGGCAGCCTGGGGCGGGTGGGGCGCTTGCCCAGCGGGGGAGCTCGGCCACCGCCCGCCCGGGGCTCCCAAGGTGTGGTCTCCCCGCGGTGGCGCCCCGAGCGGTCCCGCCGCGGGCTGCACCGAGGCGCGGGGAGGAGCAGCGGGGCTCCCGGGAGCGCGGCCGCGGCAGACGCGCCGGAGGCATCGTAGTAGACGCTTCCGGTTGGGGCCACCAGGGGTCGGTACCCGACACTCAGGCTCCCAGGGTGCCCTTCCCCTCCCCAGTGACCCTGGGCTCCGAAGGAGTCTGCCCCGGGAGCTGGGCGCAAGGCTGGGCTGGACCGGGGTACCAGCTCCCCGCAGCGCCAGCGTCCTGGGACCTGCGCGCTTGGCCCTCCGTGCCTCCCAGGTCAGGCGAAAGGCCAGACCTGCTCCACCCCATCAAAGTAGATTTCTTCATTCTTTATTAGCACATATTTTCCACCTATAACGAATACATTCATCGTGGAAGTTATACACCTCGCATCTTAGTCTTTTTTATTTTTCCTTCTTCTTCCTTCCCCTCCCTCCCTCCCCTGCTTTTCCTCCCTGGATTCCCTTCACATCTATAAAAAGTCCACCTCCTTGCTTCCTATCATCTTTTATTTGCTCTTTACTTATACTTTGGGGTTGTAATATAAAAGAAACCGTGTGATATTTAACCTTCTGCGTTCATTCTTCCTCACTCCCCGCGTGTTCCTGCTTCCCCCTGCTCTGGCCATGTCCTCGGTCAGGAGTGCCGCTGGCCTTTGTCTTCCCGTGCCCGTGCTGCTCATCCCTCGGCAGCCTGTGAACCCTCCAGATTCCACAGGCCCGGGCTTTTCCCGGGTTTGGTGGCAGTATACACCTGGTGTGTTAGTGTTCTCTGGCTGGGACGCAACAATGGAAAACTCACACCTCAAAGGAGATTTAACTCATTGCAAAGTTGCAGGAATTCAGTTCATGGCTCCAGCAGGAACATGGTGGCCGCACAAGGCTGTGGAGTGAAGATTCCTCCATGTCCCACCCAGACACAACTGGGAGTGTGTTCCACTGACCCCCTGGGTAGCTCTCAAGCCAGGCAAGCGGACACAGTCAAGTTTGACCCCACACTTGGCACTGGGAGAGCCCTGTGTGAGACACCCTGATAAAGGCACAGCGGCAGTCAGCTGTGCCAGAAGCCCCAGGTATTCTTCACTAGGGAAGGGACTCCAAAGGCTTCTTGAAGACTTTCCAGTTGATGGGCCCTGAATTGAGTACATCCACTGATGATGAAGGCAGAAATTGTAATAGCAATGGCCCACAGAACCATGCTGGACTGGGTCCTGTCTTCTCTATTTCTCCTCCTGTCACTGCTTCAGAACTTCTAAGCAGTATGAGCGTGGGGCAAACTGGTACTCACTCTGACTTGCTTGTGATGGTGGGTTGGAAATCTAAACCCACTCGGTTCAACTCTCTTCCATTGTACGGACAAGTCAATGTTGAAATGAGCAAATGAACATGGGAGCATGCCACACTGACCTTTTGAATCTGCAGAAAGCCAAAACTGTATAACCAAAACTAGGCTTCACGGGGAGACAGCTGAGCCTGAAAGAACTCCATCTGGGACCCACCTTCCGGTGGGAAGGGTCAGGTTCCTAACCCTGTGACACCTGTGGAGGCCATGCAAGGTGGGTGCTATATGGGCTGTCCCAGATGACCGGAGCAGTAGGCAGTGTGGACAGTGCGCCAGGTGGAGCCAAAGCCGGCCCCTCGAGAGGACCATGGGCTGCTGGGAGAGGGGGACAGAGCCCAGGCCGTCAAACACGGTAACAAAGGCGGACACAAAGAACAGTGATTGTTCCAGTTTGTCACTTGGGAGTTAGAGTTCAGTCTTCTCTCAGTACTCTCGGGTTGGAGCTGGGCTCGGGGATAGAACACCTGGCTGAGATGGAGAAAGCTGAGTTCAGTTTCCAGTGCTTCAGGGGGGAAAAAAAGCATGAAAACTTTGTCTTTTTTCCTGGATATTTGAGTTTTAGCTTGTCACATCTAATTTTATCTCTTTCGTGCTTTTTGAGTATTGTGTAGGGTGTGAACTAAGGACTGTGTTTCTTTTCTTCTTATTTGGAATATAAATACCGAGTTGTCTTAGCCCCTGTCCTGGGAAGTTGTTTCCAGTTTCTTGGTATCCCAGGCAGACAAGCAGGATGCTTAGAAAAAGTACCAAGAGAGGAGGTGGTCCCTGCCTGGAAACCAGCGCCACATGCAGGCAGCTGCCGGAGTGGGGACAGCCAGTGGCATAAGCGCCTGCCTTGCAAGCAGGCAGTCGTGAGTTCGATCCCTGGTACCGATAAAAACAAAAAAGACAAAAAACAAAACAAAACAAAACAGACCCAAGTCTCTGAGCCAGCACCAATTGAGGACTGGGGGGGGGGGGGACACAAAGCTCACCAGGAAGGGATCCCCACCTGGAAACAGTTTCATTGTTTTCTTGGGTTGGGTTTTATTCTCTTTTATGTTAAATCTGATGGCAGGAGCAGCTATTTAGAAGATAGCAAGACATGTTATGGTCTTGTTTTGAAGTCCTTTATTGCAGTCATTCTTCTGTTTTTATTGTTTCCATTCTATTCTGTTCTATTTGATTTTTGCTATGTCTGAAGGTATCTGCAACAAAAGGCATTATGGTAACTTGTTGATTTCGTAAGGGCTTGAAATCTTGTATCTCTTCTGTTGGTTTATTTTGATTGGTTTTATTCTCCTTAGTTTTATCCTCTTTAAAATAAAAGAAAGAAAAAGTACCAAGCATAAGATTTATTAAAAGCAAAAGGCACGAGCTGGTGCTCCTCAGGGTGGTGCAGCCCAGGAGAAGAGCTCCAGTCCCTGTAGCGCAGGCCCTGGGTCTCTAAGATCCTGGATTAGAGGTCCCCAGGCTGCAAGTGATAGGAATCCTGGCCCAGCCGCAACCTGACTCAATCCCAAATTGGGAGGGAGAGTTTCTGACTGTTTGAGGTTTTCAGAGGAAGCGTCTGATGCCCAAAGCCCCTACGGGGTCAAATGAGGCAAATGTGGCTGGAGAGAGGCCAGGGTGGTGTGCTTCTGGTTCTGTGCACCGGAACCTTGGAGACGGAGTAAGCTTCATGTTGGCTCTCTCGTGTTCTGACAAAGGCCTCCTCGCTGTCTGCCTTCTCCACCCTTGCCTCACACTTTCCTGCTGTTTACTTGGCCTTTGTCAGCCACTTCAGTTCCAGTACCATTCCTTAAAGAAATTATTCCTTTCCATATATATGTGCTGCCCACTCTGTTCCACTTGTCTATATATGCATTATTATTATTATTTTTTGTTTGTTTGTTTTTTGAGACAGGGTCTCAGCGTGTAGTTCCGTCTAGTTTTAAACTCACTGTGTAGACTAGGCTGGCCTTGAACTTGTGGCAATCCTCCTGCTTCAGCCTCCCAAGTGCTGGGATTATAGATATGTGCCACCATGCTTGGCTATATATGCATTGTTACACTAATACCACACTGTCTAGATTACTGTAGCATGTGTATGTATGTGCATGTGTGTGTGTGTGTGTGTGTGTGGTGCTGGATATTGTTGAATCCACGGCCATCACACCGAACTACATACCCAGATCTTTAAAAAAAAAAAAAAAAACCTAATTTTGCAACAGGGTCTTCATGAAGCTGCTAAATTCTACAGGTTAGGGTAGCTTCAGTCTTCCTGCCTCAGCTTCTCAGAGTGCATCACCAGGCCTGGCACTGTAGCTTCAGGTAACATAAATCTTGTATTTTTTTCTTTCCAAAATTGTTCTATTCAAGTTAGATCCTCTGCATTTCCATATAAATTTTAGAATCAGCTTGTCAATTACTGGGAAACAAAACAAAACAAAACAAAAGGCTGTTAGAATCTTTATTAGGGTTGCATCAAATTCATGTTTAAATTTGTGGAGAATTGATCTCAACAATATTGAATTTGCCAATCTAGTAAGATAGTATATGATTATGTTTATATGTTCTTTAATTTCTCTAAACTTTGTAGTAAATATTGCTCAGTGCCTCACTTTTTATTCTTGTAATTTTTTTTTTAGATTTAGGACTTGGAGTAATGCTCCAGTTACTAAGTTACTAAGTACTAAGACAGTTACTAAGTAAATTGTTTTATGGCCCATGATAAGGCACATGTTGGTAAATATTCTCTGTACTCTTGAAAAAGGTGTGTATTTTGTTTTTACTGGGTACAATGTTCTTAAATGTCAATTAGATAAAGTTGATTGATAAAGCTGTTCAAGTCTTTTATATTCTTTATTTTCTGTCTGTTCTTTCAAATATTGATGGGGAGGTTGAGCCCCTCAGTAATTGTGGGTTTGTCTTTTTCTCCTTTAAGTTCTACCAGTTTTGCTTCATGTACTTTGAACATTTGTATTCACAGCATAAATATTTATGATTCTTAAATCATCTTGAAACTGAGTCTTTTTTCTTTCTTTTCTTTTTTTGTAGTAGGTGAAATCGAGCGCCTCAGAAATGTTAAACTAGTACTCTGCCCTCCTGGTAAATTGTTTCTTTTATCCTTATGGAAGGAGTCAGTCTCTGATAATAGTCCTCCCTGTGAAATCTATTTGATGATACGACTATGGTCATTCTGTCTTTCTTTCAATTATTAAGTTCTTCTATTTTTTTCTTTTTTCTTTTTTTGGTGCCAGAGATTGAACTCACGACCTCGTGCTTGCCTGGCAGGCACTTGTGCTGCTGAGCTAAATCCCCAGCCCTTTTCCAATTTTTTTTTTTTTTTTTGTCTTTTTCCTTTTTATCAGTACCGGGGATCGAACTCATGACCACCTGCTTGCCCGGCAGGCACTTATGCCGCTGAGCTAAATCCCCAGCCCCAATTTTTTTTTTTTTTAGGTAATTCTTTGTTTTGTTTTTTGAGGAAGGGTCTCACCATGTAGTACAGGCTGGCCTCCAATTTGAAAGAATCCTCCTGCCTCAGCCTCCTGCACGCTGGGATTGCAGGCACTG